CTCGTGGAGGCTCCCGGCCTGGCGCCTCCGAGGATTCAGTCCCTCTTCTCCCTCCCTCAGAGACTCGCTCACAAGAAGGCCGGCGAGGAAGCGATAAGAGAAGCCCCGGCGCGCAGGTCCAACACTCAGGCCACGGAGCCGGCCTTTCGACCGCCACCCTCGGGGCTCCGGGGGACGGAGAGAGAGAAAGGTCTGGCTTCAGCGGAGGGATTTCAACGCCCTCCAGGGCGTCGCTGCTCAAGCAGAGCCGCAGCGAGGGGCCGAAAGGAGTCCGCGGCGGGGGAGGGGTGGAGGCGACGGACCCAGAGACACGCTCCGCGGACCCTGCCTTCCCTCCCGGCCGGGTCTTTCTCAGCCTCACCTCTCCCCTCCAAAGTGTTGCCGCCTCCGGGGCTGCTCTGCCGGGGCCGAACTGGTTAACGCGAAAAGTCGAGCGGGCCCGTCCCATTCATTGCCCAGGCGCTTTGTCTCCCGCTGCCGCGACGCTGAACTCGGACTCCCCCGGCTCGGCCGCGACGGGTCGTACTGCGCTTGCGTCGCGGTCGGGGCAGCAGGCCGTTGGGGAGGCGGAGTCGAAGCATGGCACGCACGCAAGCCAGCCAGCCAGCCAGCCAAGCTGCAAAAGACGGCCGCGGCGGCAGCCTCCGTCGACCGGGCTGATGCGTCACAGCCCCGCGGGCACGCGCTGGCGCAGATTGGCGCGTCATCGCCCGCGTCGCGCGCCGTCGTCGTCCTTTGAGACGAGCAGACAAAAGCAAGCAGCGGGACGACAAAATGGTGGCCGTGGAAGATTAGTAGGGAAGTGATGGCCAGGTGCGAGTTCAGGAGGGGGGCATGGGCGGGCAAAATAAACCAAGGCGTTGTTTCTGGGACACTTCGTATAGGGTAGAATTGTCCTGTTTTGGTATTAGACCTATTTTGGTAGTCTTTTTGCAACTGGGGAGCCAACTGAAGAGGCAGCAGTGGCATGCATGACAAGCAAGGACTGCTAATATTGCACCGTTGCTTTCCTTCCCCCCTCTGTGAAATTACCCTTCCAGAAAATGAGCCGGCTCAGAGAGATGGAAACGCTCATCAACTGACGCAAAAATATTCAGGACTGCTCTGATTTTTGTAGCTGGTCTCCTTAAGCGAGAGGAAATCCTATTGAATGCATAGGGTTTGCCAGCGTCTCATATAGGCCTGGTCATTGTGCTTTCAAAATTATCTTGATGCGTGGGACCTTGACGGTGTTAAAGATGATCTCCATGCTGTGAGATATTCATCGCATTTGAGCACATTGGGCTGCTTTACATATGTAGGAGCAGTAAGGGGTTTATTCGTCGCTTGGCAGTTCCAGCAATACAAAGCGGATTCTGAAGGATTTGCGTATTGGATTGAGGGTATAATCACTGTGTAGAATGAGGAACTTTAGGGGGGTATGACAAGTAGTGGTGGTCAAAATTTCTTCTAAATCGAAAAGTAGATTTTTCTGGGTTTAAATTGTTTACCAGCTAACTCAAGAAAATGAAAAGATGTGGCTGATTTAGGGATCATATCTATGCAACTACTGTCCTGAAATTATTTTTGCAAGTTTCAAAGGCTCACATGAATTGACACAATACAACCAGAAAGCTCTGCGGTCACTTGAGATTGGTTAGTAAACAGTTTCAGTTAAGGTGTTGAGGATACTATTAAGACCATTTGTTTAGAAGTGGTAAACCAAATGCAAAAAAGATTACATCTTTAATCAACATGGAGGATATTTCTGTAGTTCAGGTTTTCCCACCCTGAGGCGCTGTAACATGGCAACCTACATTTGTCCAAATTGTAGCATCAGTCTGACTCTTAGATGTGCATATGAGCTACCTAAATATTAGGTGTGACACTAATATTAATTCTGTGAATCGAAGTGAATATATGATAAGTTTAATAATGCATTCTGGAATGACGTAAAATAATGTTTGTACCTTAATAAGATAACTGGCTGTCAGAGACTTCTTATGTAATTTTTCCCTCTTTTTGACTAATCCCTATTGAGGTTAATAAAATTTCCTATTTATTCTTAAGCTGCAGTGTTAGTCTGCATATGTGCTTAGGATTTTAGCTTATGATTGTTCATTCTCTATATTAAGGTGATTCTTGCATGGGATCAGCGGTGATATTTACTTTACAGAAATATTGGCATTGCTCCATATTTAGTGTAAGGAGTTGCCTTGTATCAGGTTAAGACTCGTCTGCTTTGTATTATGTTAGTTTCTCTGACAGCAACTTTTGGATAGAGATTTCTCCTCGCCCCTGCCCCAAACTTATTAAAATCCTTTGGCCACAGAGAATATTGAATATGTTTATCATCCTGGTAGAAGACATATATATGTTGGTTAAATGTTTACATGATTCCATCAGATAGAATTCAACCATGCAATTATCAGATTACTGGTTTGGTTGACTCCCAAACATTTGTCTGCTCAGCAACTGAAGAATTTTGCAGGAGGTAGTTTGTGTCAGTATCATAAGCCCAAACCCATCAGTGCTCTACTACTTTTAAAATCTTACATAACAGGTTTCCCCCCTCACTAGTTGCCAAACCAGAAATATGCTTTGACCATCTGAAAACATACTCACTTGCCTTTATATGTGTGAGAAAGATCTCAAGGATACAGAGTTGTGATGTAATTGTATATTCCTCTAGTCTCAAAGTTTCAGCAGCATGTAGCTGTTCATTAATTATGCTCTGACAGTTCTGAAAATTGGGTGTAATTTCTAGAAGCATCCTTAATGAGTTTTGTGTAAATTAGGGAGATAAAGCTGTGCAGGGAGAGCAGGGGAAGTTGACTAATAAAGCTGTGTATATATTAATTTTGTTCAAACCTTCTTCAGGTGAATACGTATAATTAGGTAATGCTTGCCATTTGAATGATTTGTATTGAAAAATACATTCTGCAGTGATATGAAATGACTATTATAGACACCAGTAGTGTGAGCTTTGCCTTCCAGTACTTGAATAGCAAGAATCCTTAAACCTTTTGCATAGTAAAACCACCTCAGAACGGGAGGAAAAACTTTCATTATCTTTAAAAAATGTAAATAAGACAAAACAAGGGGAAGGCAGTACTTTCTTCTATTTTCAGTTTTCCAGGCTGGGGTTGCCAACTCAGTGTCTGCACAACATCCCCACAGAGCCTCCTTATCTCATGTCTAGCAGTGATATATCAGTTTTTAGCACCATCTTTGCTTCCCTAGAATTCCTCTTGGCTTCACATTAATCGAAAGGAATGCTTAGAGAATAGTAGGATATCATAGTTTTTTGAAACTGAAGAATACAATGATAAAGGTACTTATTTACTGGCACTAACTCCTTTTTATGAAACTAAGTGTGCAGATGATAGTCTGCACCTTAGATTAGTTGTTAAAATGATCACTGAAGTTCAGGGTGGATAAAAAAATCAAAATGATTTTTAAATCAAATTGATTTAAGTGATTTTAAAATTTAAATAATCAAAAAATCTCTCTTTTTAAAATTGTGATTTGAATGAATTTGATTTTATTCAAATCCACCCTGCTGCAGATCCTCTCTATCAGGATGGGGTGTGATTGTGTACTTACACTGGCCAGTTGTCTTGGAATTCATTTAACATCCCAGTTCTATGAAATGCATTTCTAGGGCAAAGAAGTATGGTGCTCTAAATATTCCAGATCTTGTCCAGTTGCAGAAACTAAGTAGGGTTGGGTGCAATACTTTAGTAGGAGATCCTCAGAATCTCTAAATGGCATAGAAAATAACCTATCTGAAAGGGAGAAGGGTCCCAGGCTACTTTGTAAAAAAGGTTGCTAGCAGCTATATTTGTTGCATAATTATTACTTGCTACATTTGTTTGCATGAGAACCTAATTTCTCTAGTTCACAAAAGGTTCCATAAAACACAGTTCAAATAAATATACAGTACACTAATTCTTGGCATTATTCTTTATATTTCAACCCCTCCCCCTTTTCTAATTACTTTATACTTAGCTTTATACACTTAGCTTTGAGGGTTTCAGGAGTGCCAACTTCCTTGGTTAAAATTGTGAAGATATAATAGTTCAGCTTCCTTCCTTCCTTCCTTCCTTCCTTCCTTCCTTCCATCCTTCCTTTTCTTTCTTTTCTTTCTTTTCTTTTCTTTCTTTTCTTTTCTTTCTTTTCTTTCTTTTCTTTCTTTCAATACACCTTTCTATACTCCAAAATGTTGCAAAGCAGTGAGCAAATATCTGTGTTTCTTGTAGCTATTAAAACTAGATATTAAGGGTAGCTCATGGCCACTGGTCCCATCACCTCCTGGGAAATAGAAGGGGAAAATATGGAGGCAGTGATTGATTTTACTTTCTTGGGCTCCATGATCACTGCAGATGGTGACAGCAGCCACAAAATTAAAAGACGCCTGCTTCTTGGGAGGAAAGCAATGACAAAACTAGACAGCATCTTAAAAAGCAGAGACATCACTTTGCCAAAAGAAGTCCGCATAGTCAAAACTATGGTTTTTCCAGTAGTGATGTATAGAAGTGAGAGCTGGACCATAAAGAAGGCTGCCTGCCAAAGAAGTGATGCTTTTGCATTGTGGTGCTGGAGGAGACTCTTGAGGGTCCCCTGGATTGCAAAGAGACCAAACATATCCATTTTGAAGGAAATCAACCCTGAGTGCTCACTGGAAGGACAGATCCTGAAGCTGAGGCTCCAATACTTTGGCCATCTGATGAGGACTCTCTGGAAAAGACTCTGATTTGGGGAAAGTGTGAAGGCAAGAGGAGAAGGGGACGACAGAGGACGAGATGTTTGGACAGTGTCATCAAAGCTACCAACATGAATTTGACCCGACTCCGGGAGGCAGTGGAAGACAGGAGGGCCTGGCTTGCTCTGAATCAAGTCCCAGATTACAGTCACCATGGGTAGCAACTAAACAGCAACAAGGGGCTCAAACTGAACCTAAACAAAACAGAAATTTTGCTCCTGGGGGGAACCTCTGACAGGTATGGGGGGATGGTTCCTAGGCTGGATGGTACTCCCTCCAGTTTAGGGACCAAGTGTATAATTTGGGTATTCTTCTGGACCCGGCTCTTTCTTGGGAGTCCCAGATTACAGTCATGTCCAGATCAGTCTAACCAGATTAGGCTAATCACCCAGCTTTGCCCCTACCTAGACAAGGACTCCCTCAGGACTTTGGTGCAGGCCCTGGTCATCTCCTGGATCGACTACTGCAAGAGGAGAAGGGGACAAGAGAGGATGAGATGGTTGGACAGAATCATCGAAGTGACCAACATGACTTTGACCCAACTCCGGGAGGCAGTGGAAGACAGGAGGGCCTGGCTTGCTCTGAATCAAGGGGTCACGAAGAGTCGGACACAACGTAATAACTAAACAACAAAATTAAGAGTAGTAGAGCAATGCTTTGGATGCATAAAACACTTTGGGAATGTTTTAATCCTGAACAAAATTAGGATATTGGTTTTTAGCCTTCTTTCTCCCCTTGTGTGACTTTAAAAAAATTAACTCTCAGTTTAAAGTGTCTTTTTGAGCTAGACAAGTTGCTGAACACTTACATTTTTGTTGGTGCTAATATAGTTTTAATATAGTTACCAAAAATGTTTAGCTTTACACTTTAACATGACACCCCTCTTAACTGAAGACAGGGTGAATTTGATTTTAATCATATAAATTTAATTCATGATTAGAAATTGTAAATGGTTTTTAATAATGATTTAAATTATAAAAATTAATTTTTAAAATTTTAATCGTAGTTTAAATCAATGGTTTTTTTTTAAAAAAAAATTGCTTTTATATATCCTGACTGAAGACAGTTGATTCATTCAGTGAAAGACTAAGCACAGGAGAGCAAGCTGTACATTGCCGATCTTGATTTAAAATGTAGCATTCTACTACATATTTCATGCTTCTGTTATAGAAATGGTAGTTATAGCTTGATGTGGCTCTTTATAAAGCAGTTTGGGATTTTCATAAATAAATGAAATGGTCAACAAAACCAATGGCTTCAAAGCAGAAGGGAGCTGTCTGGCTTAAATGCAGTGACACAGGGTAGTGTGGGAAGGTCAGAGAAAGAAATGCACATAACAGAGATTTGGATCATTCATTATTCAGCCTCAGTCATCCATTTGACTAGCAGAAAAAATAATGGTAAATGGCTTATATTGTGCATGTTGTAATGGACTGCTGTACTTACTAATGGTTTGATACATTTAATTATTTTGAAAAAGCTCAATCTTTTTCTTTAAACTTATCTTTTTAAAAGTAACTTATTTGATAATAAAGAATGGTATCTGATGGTAATAGAATACTGCACCAAGGATAACGAGCCTACAAATGTCTTTTGAAAATAGGAATAGGTGTCACTCATTCAAACAGAGTTGAGGAACCAGTGGTTCCCAAGCAGCACTGGCCTTAGCTAAGGATTAGGGGCATTGTGAGCCAATGTTCTAAAAGACAATGGGTTTCTCATTCCTCTCCTAAAATGTACATAACATGATGTCATCTCCTTTCCATTGTTGCATTTTCATCTTAATGATACTGCAGTTCACTGCCTCTAGCAAGAAAGCAATTTGCCTTTCACATGACTTGGATTAAAAGGCTCACAGTCCTCTCCTTTATCATTGTCCAAAGTGGCTGATGTTTCTTTAGGCTGAAAATCTGGGAGGCCTGTGGTTCACCATTCCTACTGCATGGTAACATGCTCTGAATAGAGGTCTTGGAACAGCATCTAGTGTGGCTGAGAAGGCCAATTCGAGAGTGACAATCCCTTCCACACTGAGTACAAATACAGTCTGTCCCCTGTCCAGCTCTCTGATTTTGCTGGTTTCGGGACTGCCTCTTTGTCTTGGCCTGCTGAACAAGTGTCTCTTCAAAATGGGAGAGGCCATGCTGCACCACCTGCCTTGAGCCTGAATGCTCAGATGTCAACATTCCCCATCTGTTGATGTCTATTCCTAAGGCCTTCAGATCCCGCTTGCAGATATGCTATCGCAGCTGTGGTCTCCCTAAGGGGCACTTTCCCTGCACTAATTCTCCATACAGGAAATCTTTTGGAATCCAACTATCAGTCATTCTCACCACGTGCCCAGGCCAATGTAGACGTCACTGTTTCAGTAATGTATACATGCTAAAAATTCCAGCTTCTTCTAGGACTACTCTATTTGGAATTTTGTCCTGCCAGGTGATACCAAAAATATGTCTTCCACAACGATAAGGAAGCAAGACACCAGCCAGCACCTAAACCAACAGAAAGAGCTCAGCAAGGGACAGAAGTAGAGGAACTGAGTGAACAGATACAGAAAATAACAATGGAGGAGGTTCAGAAGGAAAAGGTGGGAAAGGAGAGGAAAAAGAGGGTGGAGTTTGAGGCAGGAATAGGGGAGGAAAAGAGGAAGGAAGGGCAGTTGCCGCCAGGCTGGGAATGGGTGTGGATGGAGGATCCCTGGACTGGGTTATGGGAGAGGCTAAGAGTGCCCAAGTAAAAGGCTGACTATAGAAGAAGGGAGATTCCACCCAAACCCTCATTGGGGAGAAGCCAAAGCGAGATAGTGGAGAAGTAGAGAGGAAAAAGAGTGGAGAGGGAGAGGAAGGAAAGATTAGAATGGAGGATAAGAGAGATGAGGAAGAAGAGTTACAGGGAGGACACTGGGAGAGTTGAGACCTGGAGAGATGAACCCTGTGGATTGATGCCCGGGATGACGAGACTGTGTCCCTGTTGGAAGGTTCAACAGGGCAAACCATAAGAGACTGGGTTCCTTCAGATTTGCTGGGATCATGGAATGCCAGTTGTGGAAATCCGTCTATGTTCGAAGATTGGAAGATTGGAAACTCCTTCAGGACCCATTGGCGGAAGGAGATAGATCTCAAGATCATGTTATGGACACTCGTTTAATGTTAAATGCACCAATAAATCACCTGTTTTGAAGCAACAAAATTCTACTGATTTTGAATCAAACATGGAGCCAAAAACCGAACCCTCACAGTCCTACATGGCAAAGAAGCTGGCATTCTCACATACTGTTAGCCATGAAAGGACATCACT